AATACGATCACCTCAGTAGGTGCAGAAAAATCATTTGACAAAATTCAACATTCATGTATAATTAAAACTCTCAACATAGTTGATATAGAAGGAACATGTCTCAACATAACAAAGACCATATGTGACAAACACTCAGCTAACATCCTACTCAACAGCGAAAAGCTGAAAGCTTTTCCTCTGGGATCAGGAACAAGACAAAGATGCCCATTCTCACCACTTTTATTCAACATAGTATTGGAAGTTCTAGCCACAGCAATTAGGAAAGAAAAAGAAATAAAAGGCATCCAAATAGGAAAGAGAGAAGTAAAACTGTCATTATTTGCAGATGACATGATTTTATATAGAGAAAATCCTAAAGAATTCACCAAAAAACTCTTAGAATTAATAAATGAATTCAATAAGTTGCATGATACAAAATTAATATACAGAAATCAGTTGCATTTTTTACACACTAATAAAGAACTATGAGAAAAAAAATCAAGAAAAAAATCTCTTTTACCATTGCATCAATAAGAATAAAATACCTAGGAATAAAGTTAACCAAGGAGGTGAAAGACCTATACACTGAAAACTATAAGATAGTGATGAAAGAAATTGAAAGAAGACACAAATAAATGCAAAGATATTCCATTCTCATGGATTGGAAGAATTAATACTGTTAAAATGTTCATACTACCCAAAGCAATTTACAAATTCAATGCAATCCCTATCAAAATTCCAATGGCATTTTTCACAGAACTAAAACAAATAATTCTATAATTTGTATGGAACTACAAAAGATTCCAAATAGCCAAAACAATCTTGAGAAAGAGGAACAAAGCTGGAGGTATTATGCTACCTAATTTTAAACTGTACTACAAAGTACAGTAATCAAAACAGTATGGTACTGGCATAAAAACAGACACATAGACAATGGAACAAAATAGAGAGCCCAGAAATAAACCCATGCAGATATGTTCAATTAATATACAACAGAGGAGGCAAGAATATACAGTGGGGAAAGGACAGTCTCTTCAATAAGTGCTGTTGGGAAAACTGGACAACCACATGCAAAAGAATGAAACTGGACCACTGTCTTACACCATACACAAAAATTAACTCAAAATGGATTAAAGACTTGAATGTAAGACCAGAAACCATAAAACTCCTAGAAGAAAACATAGGCAGTAAGCTCCTTGACATCACTCTTGGTGATATTTTTTTGGATCTGACTCCAAAGGCAATGACAATGAACACAAAAATAAACGAATGAGACTACATCAAACGAAAAAGCTTTGCTTTGCACAGCGAAAGAAACCACCAACAAAATAAAAGGGTAACTTAACTGAATAGGAGAAGATACTTGCAAATCACATATCTGATAAGGGGTTAATATACAAAATATATAAAGAACTCATAAAACTCAATAACAAAAGAACTATTTAATTAAAAAAGTGGGCAGAGGATCTGAATAGACATTTTTGCAAAGAAGACATATAGATGGCCAACAAGCACGTGAAAAGATGCTTGATGTCACTAATCATCAGGGAAATGAAAATCAAAAACCACAATGAGATATCATCTCACACCTTTCAGAATGGCTACTAACAAAAAGACTAGAAATAACAAATGTTGGAGAGGTCATAGAGAAGAGAGAACTCTTGCACACTGTTGGTGGGAATGTAAATTGGTATAGCTACTGTGGAAAACAGTACGGAGGTTCCTCAAAAAATTAAAAATAGAACTACCATATGATCCAGCAACTCCACTTCTGGGTATTTATCCACAGAAAATGAAAGCACTATAATTTGGAAGGATGTATGTACCTCTATGTTCATTGAAGCATTATTTACAATAGCCAAGACATGGAAACAACCTAGCTTGTCCACTGATATATGAATGGATAAAGAAGATGTAGTATATATACAACGGAATACTATTCAGCTATAAAAAAAGAAAGAAATCTTGCCATTTGCAACAACATGGATGGACGTTGAGGATATTATGCTAAGTGAAATAAGGCAGACAGAGAAAGACAAATATATGATTTCACTTATATGTGGCATCTATAAAACAAAACAAATGAACAAAACAAAATAAAAAAACTCATAGCTACAGAGAATAGATTGGTGGTTATTGTGGGGTGGGCAAAAGGATGAAGGAGGTCAATTGTATGATGATGGATGGTAACTAGACTTATTGTGGTGATCACTCTGTAGTGTATACAAACATCGAATTATTATGTTGTACACTTGAAACTAATATAATGTTATTACCAATTTCACCTCAATAAAAAATAATTAATTAAAAAAAGGAAAGAAAAGAACATGAGTGTTAGAGCTAGACATCTTGGGTTCCAAGTCCCACTCAGCAGATTTCTAGCAGTGTGGCCTCAGGCTTAGTTATTCAACTGCTCTAAATCTCAGTTTGCTCATATGCAAAATGGGGATAAAAGCTGACCTATTTATTTGGTTGATATGAGGCTTAATAAATACATAAATAAGGGTCTCATATCTTAAGGAACTAGGAAATTGATGAATGCCATTTTCTGATAAATGTTTGGTGTGTTGAAAGAACAAGCCTTATAGATTATATCCCTACCATTTCCCCCCAACAAATATTCTTCTTTCCATTTCTGCTGCCACCATTCAGTTCAGTTTCTCAGGATTTCTCATACAGGCCTCTGCGATTACCTTCAAACTCATCTTTTCACCTTTTGCCCCTCTCCTTGGACCATACGCCTCACAGTGTCACTATACTAATTTTCCTAAAACAAAACTTTAAACTCAGCATTTAAGACCTTCCACAGATGATCCCAGCTTTCTTTTCTAATCTTTTCTATCAGCTTTTCCATGATTGTACCAGAGTTTTCCATCTAAAAGAATAACTTGCTGCTTCCCTCGATATGATCCAAATCACTGATCATGCCATTCTGTCTGCCCCAAATGCCTTTTCACTCATCTCTACCTGTTAAAATCCTATCCACTTCAAACCTCATTTCAAACCTCAGCCTATCAACTGACCCTTTGCTAATTCTTTCTCTCCTTGTTTTCCTGTTGCTCTGTTAACCTCCCTGCCCCTCTCTCCGTTCCTTGCACAATTCTCTCTCATTCCTATGAAAATGCCATAGCAATGAATCTGAACCTCCTTTGCGACAATTGCCTTAACTAACTACATATTACAGTCATTTGTAATTTTCTGAACCTCCCTAACACAACGCAAACCTTTTAGCTCTAGCCTAATGCCTTGTACCTAGTGGGCACTTAATAAATATTTGTTGAATTGCACCAAAAGGCTAGAAGTGAGCAGAATTTACTGGCAAAAAAGGCAGGGCCTTGTCAAGAGTTTGCACATCAAACAAAATTTTTGTGTGTCTAATCCGTTTTGAAAACGATTTGCATCTTAACTGATGAGAAATCACTTCTATTTTTATAAACGTCTAAGAAAAGATATTTCACTGGTTCTTTCAGTAACATATCCCAGCGTGTAATAAGCTCTAATGACAGGATCATCTTATTTCTCTCTAACCTAAATCCTTCATGTTGCAGACTGAGCTATTTTTCATGGATTTTTCCAAGTGAAGATAAAGAAGTAATGGAATGGTCACTTAGAATTGTCTGCCAATTTCCCCTTTGCAATTAAGTGTTCCTTCCTCCATCTATATGGTTAATGCAGGGGCACAATATTATCACCATCACTCACTGGTCCAAGGTGACTGGCCCAAGAACAAGTGCTTGACTCAAGTAGGGCCATTAAATCTCTTCCCCAGGATTTTCTCTTCTCTGGGATCATAGGGCTTGAGATCAGCCTTTTTCCAGTGGCCGAGAACATGTGATGTAAATTTCACAAGCTATAGCTGCCATGCTCAGTGTTATGGGGAAAAAGGCAAGACTGGAAGGAGAGAGAAGAAACTTCTCATATAAGAGCTCTGAACAGAATCCAGACAGAATCCAGGAGCCTTGTTCCAACCATTCCTGAGAGTCATCTGCAGCCTTGAATTTCTGAGGCTTGGTTGCTCAACTCCTTCTTGGATTCTATTAGCCATAAAGGTACACGTTAGCCTTAGCTAGTTCTTCTTGTGTTTCCATCATTTGCAACTAAAAAAGCCTCTTACCAAGCCATTCTCTATCTTATATAGGCTTTAATTGATCAGCAAGTATTTACCTTTTATATCATAATGGATTTAAATGGTAGAAACATTATACCAAGCCATTTCTTATCTTTTTTTTTCCAAGATAAATTAACTGTCTCCTTTAATGTTATAGAAATAATTAGTTTTCCATCTCCTTACTCATTGCCACTGACCTTTACATAGCCATCGTCATCTTTTCTGTAATACTCTAGAGCTGAGCTTCTGCATGCAGGAAGTGTCTGAATGCCGTGGAGCATACCAGTGGCCTCCCACAGTCCCCACATTCTGTGCCCACCTGGGCATCCTTCAGCTATGGTGCTTCTCAACTTCCTCATTTTATAGTCATTTTGTGGTCCTCTCTGCTCTTGGGTGCTTCTCTTTAGAAAACAGCATTTGTCGTTTTCCCTCTTTCTGTCCCCCTTTTTGTCTTTGGACAAAATAGTGTAACCCAATGTATAAAAGGTTAATTTCTTAGGTTCAGCTACTGCTGATATGGCATCCCATATGTTTGAATAGAGAGAGAAAAAAGAGAATAAAATGAAAATAACAAACTGCAAGGTTTAGAAAGAACCATACCAAAGGAGTTTTTAGGAAGTAGAATAAAATATTAGAAATTACTTATAGCAATGATGTGTAAGAAAGAACTGAGTCATGACCTGTAGGTGCCTGGGCTCCGTGGGGTTATGTTTTACATATCTATTATGTCTGGGGGAAATAACAGGTGGTGCCCAATGCTTAAAATGAAAAAGGATTGTATAATAATGTTCCAAACCAGGGATTGGCAAACTTTTTATCTGTAAAGGGCCAGAAAGAAAATATTTCAGGTTTGGGGGCATTTGGCCTCCACTGCAACAACTCAACTCTGCCATTGTCTGCCATTATTTGTGGGAAAGCAGCTGTAGACAACACATAAAAGAATGGGCATGGCTGTATTCCAATAACAGTTTACTTATAACTCAGGTAGTGAGCCTGATTTGGCCTGTAGGCCATAACTTGCTGACAACAGTCCACAAATAGTCATTATATATAAAAGAGCTCTATTCATCATATAGTATGATGCCTAAAAAGATGGTGACAATAGGTGTTCATTAAGTCCAGGGAGTTATGTCCTTTGACAGCAATAGTGTTATTGAATACCACATACCATGTGTGTATATCTTTCTCTTTTTTTTTTTGTGAGAAAGATCAGCCCTGAGCTAACATCCATGCTAATCCTCCTCTTTTTGCTGAGGAAGACCCGCTCTGAGCTAACATCTATTGCCAATCCTCCTCCTTTTTTTTTCCCCCAAAGCTCCAGTAGATAGTTGTACGTCATAGTTGCACATCCTTCTAGTTGCTGTATGTGGGACGTGGCCTCAGCATGGCCGGAGAAGCGGTGCGTCGGTGCGCACCGGGGATGGGAACACGGGCCGCCGGTAGCGGAGCGCGCGCACTTAACCGCTAAGCCACGGGGCCGGCCCTGTGTGTATATATCTCTCTATGTATCTGGATATAGATGATAGACAGATAGATAGATAGATAATAGATAATAGACAGATGACTTTCTAAACTGAGTTAAGCAAGATTTCTGAGCTCGTGACTTTACTAGTCAAGAAGCTTGTTAATAGCAAAACCCATATCTTCCCTAGATCTGTGTATCTAGCTTCTAGCATATGGTCTAGCTCATATAAGGGCATCTGTACCTTGGAAAATAATTCATGGCTCCCAGTTCTTACCCCCGTCCCTACTTTACAAACCTTTCCTTAGTCATCCCCTCCCTTTCTCACTAACAATGGCTTGGGCCACAGAAAAGGCATCCCCAGAAAACAAGTTTCAACCAGTAATGTATTCATTCAGCAAACATTTATCAAATACTTGATAAGCATATAGGATACAAGAGTCAAGACGGTCATCAGAGATATTGAACATACTTGGTGGATATGTTTTATCACAATTATATATACCTATGATGTAGGAAATTTAGAGATAGCAATCTGGGTTTTTGTATAGAGTTTATATTAGACTGCTTTCTAGCTATTTAAAAATAATTAAGCACTATTTTGCCTCCACACAGGTGGAAGTTATATTAAAACACAAGCACACACACACATACACACACACACACATCCCTCCCCCCAAAAAGTTCGCTTCTTATTATCATACAATCTGCTTCATTCATTGGTCCTTGGGTTACTCATACCCCTAAAATTTACTCTCTGCTGGAATTTGACACCAAAATTGAAGTGAAACATTGTTCTAGAATTAACAAATCTGTATCATTATTTTATGAAAAAACAAACAAAAATTGAACATTTAAGAGATTGCTCTCCCAGGGGAACACCTCCTCATACTTATTTGGAGAAAACTTGTTTTTCAACGATGACAACATCCAATTTCAAATCATTTCATCAAAAGAAAGAGATCAAGCACCATTAGCCAAACTCAAAACACTAAAGAGCATATTCATATGAATTTTCAGAATGAAACAACTGCTCCATTCAAGGCAGACACTAGTGATGCCTCATCTACATCCCCTCAACGTTCCCACTTCAGTGCATACCCACCTGAATCACAACTGCCAGCACCTGCTGCTGGAGGCCACTGTACCATGCACATTAAGTGCAGAAGAGGGAGTGCTCCCGGGAGCAGCCCTCAACCAACGCCTGATGGAGTGATGTATAAATACCTCAGCTCCCTTGCCCCTTGGGTGGGATGACCTTGAGGTGTCAGTTTCCCATAGTTGTAGGTGGGTTGATAAGTCATCCTTTATTATCAGCCTCCCCTCCCTGCAACAGTTCCTCACTGCCCAGGGAAACTACTTGCAGTTGAATCTTTGTCTTGAGTCTCCTCCAGGGAACCACAAAGCAAGCCAAAACCATAAACTCAGCCCAAACACAATTATTACATGTCTATTTTTACCTCCCAAATCTAAACCTACTTTTAGTCTAGTTTTGGACAAATCCATCTTAAAACAACATGAAGATCTTGGGGAACCATCTTCAAAACATCATTAAAGCCTGCAGTATCCATTCAGATTTGAAGAGCCTAAACTACCCCCCATCTATTAAAAGTATAGTCTGAGTAGGTTGGTGGGGTGTGTGAATCTCCTTGGTAATATTTTCCCATTCTCTCCTTTCCCTTAAGTAACCAGAAGTTTCCGCATCCCTTAGATGGCAGAAGCCATCTGTATTGGAGCTGTGTGTGTATGTAATATTAAGCCCAAAAACTTCTTTAGAGCAAAATACCAAAGACATCAGGAAAATGAAAAGACAAGAACTTGCATTTATAACACCTTCTCCAGATGCAAATTATTCTCTTTTGGTTTTCAATAAGTTGCCAGTTGCAGTGTTATATCTGGAGAGGAATTAATTGGGTGTTCATTTTATCGATTTTCTGCAACGGCCCATTGTCAAACTGCATATAGGAAGTTTTTATATTTTTAAATAGTTTTTAATACATGTGGAGGGAAAAAAGCTAATTCTTGCAATCTGCATGGCCTAGGCAATTTTCCTGGAAGAATCAGTGGATTCTGAGACTCCTTGAGGCCATTCAGGCTGAAAAAAGCTACCCACATCCAATAGTACCAGAGCAAGTCTGAACTAAGGAATCTTAATCCATTTGAGGCCAAGATCCAATGCTGAGATTGCTCCACATGGGTGGGAAAAAATAATTTGAAACAGGGAAGAGACTTCTAACGAACAGGAGAACATGACTCAATGACAGCAAAGAATAATGTGTTAAAATGTTATACCCCAAAATGGAATAATGTGAAGCAGTCTGAAGTTCAACCAAACACCCTCCTTGATTTCTAGAATAGCATTAATGCACTGCCATCCACAGGTATTTTCATGGCCTGCTTGTGACCCAGAATGTTTCCAGTTGGACTAGATGACTTCCATGCCAGGCACGCCAGTCAGTTATCACTTAGAATAGTCCATGGCACCTTTTTTCTGTGACCTCCTTTAAAAGCCAAACTGATAGCAACCATCCCAGACCTCAGAGATATATTCCTGGAACTTTGAAACCCATTTTCTGCTTTCTAACACATTTTCAAGTATTATTTCTACCACTTATAATACTACTATTATTTCTATGACTTACAGTACCATCTCAACTTTTCTCAGTTTGTCTTGACTTTAAAAATGTCATCGAACTGACAGTGACGTCATCAGTAGCAGCTTGGTGCCTTTAACAGCTAGCTTTTTGTTCATCTGTGGTGGGTGACATCAGGGGCACCTCATAAAAGTGGAGCCCCCTTCTAGAGTCTCTGGCAATGTCTCTAGACATCACCATTTAAATTCAGAAATAGACCATACGAATAATCTAAGTCTTTTCCCCTATCTTCAACAAATTAAGGACAATATTAATAATAACTGATAGCCATTACACATTGCACAGGTGCCTTCTTCATACCTAACATATTATTATCTCATTTTATCCTACTACCCTCTGAGGTAGGTGCCATTCAACTTAAGTAACAAGGTGTTGTCCTTGGCCCTTTTCTCTTCATACCCAAATGATCTAAATATTCAGCCTGGGTAGTTCTCTCTAGAGCCCCAGATACAAAGTGGTCATCTCTTCTTTGATGCCCCTAGGCCCTGAGCCTGAACACAAACATAATGAGATAAAAACTCATTCTCTTCCATCCCAAGCTCTTTGACTCCTCCTTAACTCAGTGGATGGTACCCAACCCCCTTAGTTTATCAAGCCAGGGAACTACACCTTATCCTAAACCCTCTGCTCTTCCTTATCCCCCATCTCCATGCAGTCATCACATCTTTTTAGTATCCTCCCTTCCCAGAAGCACTGCTTTAATTCAGCCCATCATTGTTTCCTGACAAGATCGTCACATCAGCCTCCTCCTAGACTCCCTACCTCTGCCTCAAACATCTAGAATGAAAATTTGTTCAGGCCATCCCCCTGCTTAAGATTATTGATGGCTCTCTGGAGACATCAGCAAAATCATCTTAATCTCTTAATATACCAATAAAAAAGCATCCTGATCTGGCCCCTGACTATCTTTCTTGTTTCACTTTTCACTCACTCTCTCTCCCATGCCCTCATAGACAATAAATGTTTTTCATGTCTGCATCATTTGTTCTTTGTTTCTGAAAACCCTGTCTCTAGCCTTCAATATTCAGTTTAGGTATCACCACTTCCAGAAAGCCTTCCCTGAATTTTCCCCCACCCAACACAACCAGCACAGATGTCCATCATTATACTAAACACCCTGCAGTGAATGAGCTATTCTCTTTCCTAATAAGACATCAAACACCATGTCTCCTACCTCTGTAACTTCAGGGCTCATCACAGTGCCTGGCACACAGGCTACACACTGCCTATTTGTAGAATGAATGAATGATGAATTAGATGAAATTCTCCTGCCACAAATACATAGCATCGGGGCCTGCCTGGTGGCGTGGCAGTTAAGTTCGTGCATTCCGCTTCAGAGACCTGGGGTTCACTGGTTTGGATCCTGGGCACAGACCTACTCATGGCTCATCAAGCCATGCTGAGGTGGCATCCCACATAGAAGAGCTACAACTCTACAACTATGATACACAACTATGTACTGGGGCTTTGGGGAGAAAAAAGAAAAAGAGGAAGATTGGCAACAGATGTTAGTGCAGGACCAATCTTCCTCAAAACAAACAAACAAACAAAAAAACCAAATATATGGCACCTGTACACCTTATATTTCCTAAATAGCCTGAAAACTGTTCACCTGTCTCCATAGGAGCATTCATATTTAACAGTTCAATTGAACCTCTAGTTTTATTTCGCAACATAATATAACTATAGTCTTTTCATCTATCAGCCATTGTTGGATCAGCTTGGAAGCCAAGTGCTGTGATGGTACCTAGTTCATGAAACTTATTTGCCTAGGACAATTTTAATAAATTACTATAAATACTCCTTGGTTATTCTTGGAAGACTTAAACTGCACTCCCCAAGCTCCAAATCAAATCTATTCTTTTTTCTGTCTTCTGTATTGTCTAATCATGTCTGTTCTGTCCCTAATCTGTCGAACCATGTTTGAATTATGCTTCTCTCACAACCAAATCAGCCCAATTTAGCCTCAACATATGCTAGCAGAAAATAATAGATAAAACAAACACTAGTAGAAAAATGACAAGAAAAGAACCACAAAGCTGATAACCTGAAATGAAAAACAGCCCAGCAGAAATTATCTTGCAAAGCAGGAACAGAATCTTGAGAAGTGGTGAATGGAAGATTAGCCTCAAACCCAGAAATATCCCTGGAGAAGTCATTCTTCTAGCACAGCTAGGGAGATGGATACTAACAATTTGCGTTGGAGATCTGAAATGCCCAGCCTGAACAGAAGGGAAAGCATTAGCAGGCAGGGAGAAGTGGATTTAGGAAATTGAAGCCCATATGGAACACTACGCTGGTAGCCATTTGTAACGTGAGAAGCTCCATAAAACTGAACCTCTGCAAATGATTGGAGGCAAACACTTTCAGGATCTTTGGTAACACAGCCCAAAAAACCATGTAAGCCTATCATTTCTAGCTAGAGCTGGAAGAGGAATTTTACTAGCTTGAGGGACAATAGATAAGCTTGTGTAGAGGCAAAAGAGGAGATCCAATTAGGGATGGAATTAAAGTTAGATCCAGGCAATTCACAGGGCGAAGAACAAAGCAAACCAGCATCTGGGAGTGTGGCAGGCAGATAGTACAGTCACATCCCGGGGAGGTTTTCAGAGCAAGGGGTCTGTTGAAGGCGAAGAACAGGGTCACAGGTTAATAGTAACGAGCCTCCATGCAAAAGACCAAGAGTAGGTTTCAGCCCAAATGTAAAGAGACTCTTCTTTGCTCCCTACTTTGTCATAAAGAATGAAGAGCTGGCTCAGTGGGGAAACGAACTATAGCCACCAGAAGTGTATACCAATGAGGCTGCCTTCATTTTACTCACAGCTGATACCAGCTTTGCTCTTTGGCTCATGGTCTGCCTAGAGCTGACAACCTATCTTATTCCATTTTAGGAACTAAATTTGTTTTTAGTTTTTTTTTTGGTTTAAGACAGTCTCTCTTGGGAAAGTTTCACTTAAATTCAAGTATTATTATACTTTTACGCTGCAGTTCAATATTTCCGTCTTAGGGCTTCCTCATGGATCTCGCAAGCTTCTCCTTGCCTTCTTCTCCAGGTCTTGTTTCCAATTTCAGAGTGCTTATGCATGTGTCACCTGACAGTGGCGGGGAGGGACAGAAGATCTATTTATGCACGTGGGGATTTCAAAGTGGAAATGGGAAAGAGTGGTCCATTTCTTCAGCTTGATGCAAGCCATGCTCAGTGGTGGGTGTGGTGGCTGTGCTGTGGTCATTTCTTCACTGACCTCTTCTGCTGGCACTTTCGTGGTCTGGTCTCGTGCTGGTCAGGTCGAGTGCTAGCTCTATCATGGATGATCTTTGGGTACCATCTGGAAATCCTCATTGGTGCCTCCCTGCGGGAATCTATCCCTCAACTTTGCTGATGGTATCCTCCATCTCACTCTGAGGCATCAAGAGGACCTCAGTGAGTTGGCTGCACCCCATCTAGCTTTTGTGACCATTCCAGATCTTTCCTGAAAAACTAGGAATTCCCACCTTACCAACCTGGCTCCTTAGAAACCTGGAAATGGTTTTTGGTTTTTGCCTTTACTTACCTCTATCACCTCTCTAAATTTTTCTTTCATGTCTCAGGTCAACAGAGTGCCAGAAGTTTCTGCCTCTCTTCACAGGAATAGGTGGGAAATTCACTCAGGTTAGAGAAAGAGTTCCTAGGCTCCTTCTTCAAAAGCTGTTTACTCCTGGTCTTCATTTAACTAGTCCAGTGCCAAAGGCACTCCTGCCTCTTGAGTAGACCTTGATGCAGGTTGGGTGCAGCTGTCTCCTTGGAACTCGGAAGCCTCTGCCTTGGCTGCCCTTTGGGGATGACGTAGGGTCAGCCGCAAGACAAGGGAGCAGCAAAGGCATGTTTTGAGGTTACTCGCCACACCCTGCACACCCCACAAAAGGGATCAGAAAAATCTCAGCAAACCAAAGAGACAAGATTACCTAAGAGAAACAGGGAATGAGCTAAAAACAGAAGGGTATACAATTCTATTTTTAAAGCCAGAAGTAAGAATTATCTGGTAAGAATACAAAAAGTTTACTACTTTTTGCTCTTGCATTAAGACATGGGTATGTTAGTTTGGCAAAGATCTTAGAAACTAAAAAAATGTTAACACCCGTTATGCAGCATCTTATCACAATCCAGAGTCCCTGAGTACTGGTTCTTTAAGATACATCAATCTCTTTGAGCTTTGCAATTCTCTGATCTATTCCAACAACCTGCCCATTTTTACAGCCTTTAATTGCATTGCCAGGCACCTGACGATCCACTTTGTATATGCACAATCCTTTTTTTCTTGTTTTAATGATGCATAAAATATATTTAGTGATAGTGATCCCAATTTAAGTTAAAATCAAACCATATATGGTATTGCCAATGCAAATAGCTCGCCTGTGTTGACAATCAGAGGAACAGATACCTTGAACACATGGCCCGACGCACACATTCGCAGGTGATGCCATTCTGGGCAGCTGGCATGTTTCCCTTTACTCCAATTATAAAATGAATAGCACTTTCAGCGTTTTTCAAATGTGGGAAAAAATAGGAAATATAGTGAGCTACAGGAGTAACTGGGGGAACTGGGTATAGGAGAAAATTATCAGAGAAACTGTCACTTATTTTCACTCATAGGAATAAAAGAATGAACAAATAATGGAAGTCTTCAAAATCCACCATTTGTTGAATGCCTCCTATTTGTCACGTTAGGCTAGGTGCTTTACATTCATTTTATTTAGTTTTCATCTAACAGAATCTGGAAATAATTAAAGTGACTTTCTCAAGGTCACACAGTAGGAATGAACTGGTCTTAAGCTCTGGCTTTCCTGTGGACAACTGAAAAGCAGCAACTTGTGTCTAGTAGCCTGGTTGATCTCTACAGTTCTAGGGGATTTTAGAATGAAGGTTTACTTCTTCCCATTCCTCATTTACCGTGGGTCTAAGGTGCAGTCACAAACAGTAACCAGCCCTACAAAGCCATGACTGCAGCAGGCCAGAAATCCATGCACAGAATAGCACCATTTGAATTACCAGTCTTTCTGCCTCCATGTGCAACTAATGTTATTCATTTTTAGGCAAAATGGTCAGACTTTCCACTCTTCTATGCCGTTTTCAACATGGCTGCTAAGAGGCAGTCTCCACTGTGTGAAGACAGCCTCATAGTGGGTGGAATCAAAGGCTTTACAGTTAGAAAAATTGGATTTGAACCCCAACTACATGAATTTGTGCCAGATTAACTTCTGGAAGCTCCTATCTTCTCATCAGTAGAATGGCTCATTGTGAATAGCTTTCACAGTTATTGTGAAGCCAAAATGGGATGATATTTTAAAGCTCTCAACATGGTGGCTTATACAAAATAACAGCCTATATTAATAAGAAAAAAATCATTCTTGTTTAAATTCAAATAATTTTAGAGTATACAGGGAGGGGAAAAAAGGAGTTTTTATTTCTAAACATTAAACTACACCTCCTTAACTACCTAAAGACAGGAGGAACAGGTACCAAATATAGTTTGAAGTAAGGTGATTTCTTTATTATTATATAGACAAGCCAAAATATAATGCTGCAATGCTGACATGCCAATCTAAGACTTAAATCAGGAGAGAACAAGCTATCATAATAAGTAGACAAAGCTGTTGGTAATTTTTAGCAAATCTGGAAAGATCTAGCAGATCTTTCTTCAAAGCCATTAATTTCTACTGCCTACCAATACAGAGAGTTCAACAGGGTCAGTGTGTCTGTCATTTTAATACAGCCAACTGGCCAGGGCACCATGCTAATAAGGTAGGTGCAGCTTAATTCCTGTAAAATATTCATTTTCATTTGATAGCTTTCTAGAGATGCAGCTGGATTTTTTTTTTCCCCTTTTTGCCACAGGAAAATGATTTCTTCATCCACTTATTAAATGACAATCTCTTGGCTACTGTACCCAGTCTGGAATTGGACATCACACTCCACCTAGATGCACCGGACAGAACATACTGGAGTTATTTCTTGGCTCCAGTGTGAAGTTGCTTCTCAGGCAGCCTGTCAGTCTGTCCCATTTTATTAGTACATGATGAATAAATGCATTGGACACTCTTCTCTCAAAAGAAGCTGCCCTATTTTCTATAGATAGACGGCTACAGTAAATATGGGATGTTTAAAAGAAATTTCTAAAATTTTCTTTTTTTGCATTCATTCCATTTTGTCTAGAGGCACATTCTATAGAACATTTTTTTTTTTTTTTTGTGAGGAGGACTAGCCCTGAGCTAACATCCAATGCCAATCCTCCCCTTTTTCTTGAGGAAGATTGGCCCTGGGTTAACATCCGTGCCCACCTTCCTCCTCTTTATACGGACGCCGCCACAGCATGGCCTGACAAGCAGTGCGTTGGTGCGCGCCCGGGATCCGAACCTGCGAACCCCGGGCCGCCGCAGTGGAGCACACGCACTTAACCGCTTGTGCTACCGGGCTGGCCCCTATAGAACATTTTTTTAATGACTACCAGAAAACAACAGAGCCATCATCTCTATTCATTTTCTTCTACAATATTAGAATTTCCGTGACTAGAATTATTAATTCTACTGCCCCTGATGAATAGCTAAAGCCACAGCGGCAGATCATTCCTTCTGCAGAATGTGGAAGTCTACAGTCTCATTTATTTTGCTACATGCCCTAAGAATATGATTTTTTAAAAAAGTGTTACTTCTGAAAGAGCTTCATTGCAAAAGATATTTCTAGTAGATTCTTGGATTTAATCAATTGCCCATGATTTTGCAGGCTTTAACGAGAGAAGACAGAGAATGTAATGTGCATTTTGCAAAGGTAGCCAAAAGTGAGGCAGTGGAACATCAGCGACCATTATCTCGCAGAAGAGTTGATACAATAGAGGCAGACAATTAGATTAGAGCATTTTCTTTACCAGGCCAAAAGTAAAATTTTAGGGGCAAGATAATGCTCAGATTTGGGCAACAGCCAAGAGGCAAGAATCCTGAGCCAGCATGGCAGAACCTCGCTATAGCTGTGTTTGCTATACTCTAGAATTTGGAATAAGACTGACTCTTCTTGGAATTAAAGCAATGCAATTTATTTACTAAAGTAGCAAATGGACCTATAATGTGCTGTGGCCTGAATCTTACAAACATTCACTTCTTTCTCAAAAACTGTAGGGAAATCTACTCAGCTAGTCAGTCACTGTGAAGTTAGCTCATTGTGAGAAGTATGGCAACTTGTGTGTTGGGGGGAGAGGGAGCGCTGGATGATGAGTTCCAAAGAGACAAGAGTAGACAGGCTAGGGAATAAATAAAAGAAAAAGAGCCATGGTCGGTGTCTAAGAGTGCTCACCACGCAGAAACACACACACAACAACACATGTTGAGGGAGAATACATAATCCCTACAGTGTGCCTGACTCCTAGGAATTGCTTGGGGCTTTATAAACATTGTCTAGGAACTGCTTAAACTGCCAGATTTAGCACTCTGCCTACAAGAGATGCAGAAATGAAATTGTTTAGAAGCAATTACAAAGCAATATTTCAAAAAGAACAAATGAATACAGCACAACCTTAGCATGTAACTGCTGAAGGAGGGGTCACAGCATGAAGGAGTAATCAGAGTCAGATGGAATTAATCACCACAAAGTACAGAGGGATTCTGGCTGGCATGTTAATTCCCTCCGGGCTGTGACCAGTGCCTGCCCCACCAAGATAACTGTGTGGTCCTTCTCGCACATCAACGCGGAGTAACAGAACAGACAGGGCACCCAATAGGTGCTTGCCAAGAGCTCAGGAGGCCTATTAACAATCTTGCTGAGGAAACTGAGGCATAAAAAAAATGACCAGAGCATATATGCCAAGCTAGCAAGTGGCTACATAATATTGCATGGAAAAGGCAGTGTGCCAATGGACAATGTCTGGACCACAGAATCAGAAGGCAAGATTCCAGTCCTGACTCTGCCATTGACTAGCTGTGTTACCTTTGGGCAGCTTTTCATTTTGTAACTTTTTTGAGACTCAGCCACCTCAACTGTAAAATGAGACATTGGTATCAACCTTAAAGGTTTGTTGCAAGGACTAAATAAGATGCAATTTACAAGTGTGGTGTCTGGCACAGAGCCAGCTCTCAACAAAAGGCCAATGTGCTCTTAAGTGTAGAGATTGATACGAGTCTATTAGGACAACATAGGAACCACTATTCGTGGGTATTAGGAGACCCAGGGGCCAGAGTGCCATTGCTTACTGAGGATAGAAAACACTTTTTTGTCTAAAAGAGAAAGAGACAAGATGGAGCAAGTCAACGAAAATCTCAATTACTGTATTGCCCTGAAATTGCAGAGAATGTCCTATTTTTCTTCTGTCTCCTACATGAGGCCAAGGCTAGGCAAAAAAAGCAATCTTTTTTGCTGGTCCAGTGGCATTCCATTGCCAACACCAGTTCAAGGGACGGAAAATGGACTGCAGCGTAGTTGAGGAGGTATTTTGAGTTACCTCCAAATCCAAAGCATGTGGTAAATGCAGAGAAACACTGAAAGCTGAAGACAAGGGTGCCTACCCACAAGGTGCCAGTAGTGGGTAAAATGATGCCCCTCCCTAAAAAAAAAAATGTCCATCTGAAACCTGAGAATGTGACCATATTTGGAAAAAGGATCTTTGCAGATGCCATTAAGTTAAGGATCTCAAGATGACATCATCTTGCTTCCTGGATTACCTGGGTTGGCCTTAAATTTAATGACAAACATCCTTATAAGACAGAAAAGGAGAAGAAATAGACAGGAGAAGGCCATGTGAAGTCAAAGGCAGAGATTAGAGTTATGCAGTCACAAGCCCAAGAACACCAAGGATTGCCAGCAGCCATCAGAAGCTAGGAGAGGCGTGGAACGGATTCTCTCGCAGAGCCTCCGGAAGAAACTAACTCTACTGACTCCCTGATTTTGGACTTTTGGTCTCCTGAACTGTGACAGAATATATTTATGCTGTTTTAAGTCTCCCAATTTGTGGTGATTTGTTACAGCAGCCCTAGGAAACTAAGACAGCACTCAGTTAGGGGAAAGAATAAAGTGGCAATGATTGTGGGGGAAGTGGACGGGCATCATATACTGAGGTTGCCCAGGAAAGTTATGTTCAATCTGCCCACTTAATACTTGGATTATGAGCTGGGGAGCAGTTTATGTTAAGTAAAACTCAACATAATTTTGCAATAAGAGTATTTGTCCTGTGTTTCAGATATTCCCAGAGTACATAAAAGGGGAGACAGAAGAAGAAATATTCCACATGGCAATATTCCATGAAATTAATTACCTGGGGGAATTTGTAGAAGACTGCACAGATTATGATGCTATAGAAAGAAGTAATAGTGCCTTTGGGGACTTTCTGGATGTGGGCTGAGTATCTAGTGGTCCATCTGAATCTCTTGAGAGGGTTGGTGAGGGACTGAGGACCCATTCTATCCATTTGTGTGAATGTAATCACATCATTTATACTGCAACAGTCTAGCCCCTACTGATCCTTTAAGAGAGAGTTTAGAAATCAAGGATTCCATAAAGCAGTACAATTAAGCCAACGAAAAAAGTAGCAGTTAGGAGTTGCAAATCTCTATACCCCGTCACTCCTTTCCATTCCACATGACACAGTCCTAGGGCATCCTTCAGAGCTCGCAAATGGTGACAAGAATCAGTTATCTCCCTTTCCGCTCACATAGGCAGGATTCCATGAGGGTTCATGGGGACAATTTGAATACTGAATTCTCTGTATTCCAAATGAACTCAGAGAAGCATATGGATGGCTGTACTGAGCTGCCTCTGGGCATTTTAGACTGATAATGTGTTCCAGTTTAGCCAAATACATCTTCAATATTGCTGTGAGTTAATGGAAGGAATCATACACATTTTCAAAATTTTGCAAGACAAATAGAAGCTTATTTCCCAGTTCTGATACAATGGATAGACCTTACGTCTTGTTTTCTCCAAATTTCATTTCAGAAAACAAGGACACCATTAACAAGCTCCCCATGGTTCTTTCT